TTCATTAAGATGAGCCTGATAAATCTTAATCAGACCACAGGTTCCAAAACTGAAATATGGAAATGCCTGAATACCACAACAAAGAGTGTTCTCACATTGTTTATAACCATGGCTGGAAGCAGAAGAACCAGATTTCTCACAAGGTCTGTTTGTGTGAGATTTCAGGCAGAAGAGGTCGGAATAGTTCTGATTTCTGATCAGCTTCAGATAAACATCCAGAGCCTGATTCTTATTTACACTAAAGCCCCTTTTCACGTTCTGGCAGTGTAAAGAATCTTGAAAATAAATTGTAATTTACATCTGCTTTAATGCCGCTGGACATTGCCAGAGTGGTGTACAGGAGCCTTTGTGTAAATGAGAAACCTCCCTCTCCTTCCCCACCCCAAAGCTTTTGGATACTTAGGCCATGTCTACAGAGTTAAGTCGACTTAAGTTACATTGATGATCATAAGCTGCTTTAATTACATCGGTTGTGCACATCAACACAATACTCCCTGTGTCGGTGGAGCACTTCCACAGTTGGTGCTCTTGCATCGACAGAGAGAGAGCGTTGCATCGTAGGTAGCTATCCCTCTATGGAACTCACCACCCTGTGCCACTGGGAGATCTGGGAACAGATCGCAATGCATCATGGGGGTATGCCCACTGTCCCTGATACAGTACTTTCTGTCCCACCATTCCATGGGCTTCTGATTTTGTTTTGCGCCATTTTTTAACAGCCCTTGTAAACTGTGCTTCTGCCATCTCTGCCTGAAAGCATGGATCCTGAACTGCTGACCAGTCCGGTGATGAGTGTTTTGAACACAATGCAGCTGAGCCTGCAGTATTTCATGAGCTGCGAAATAGCAAGTGAATCTGTGGTGCCTGCCCTGCTGTGTGCAATGGAAAGTAACAATTCAAGATTGCTGCTGGCATTCATGGAGCAGATGCATATGGTGGACCATTGGTACTGAGCTTGGGAAACAAGCACTGAGTGTGGGATTGCATTGTGATGCATGTATAGGATGACAAGCAGTCGCTGCAGAATTTTTTGATATGCAGAGCCACCTTCCTGGAACTATGTGCAGAGCTGGCCCTTGCCTTGTGGTGCAAGGACACCAGAATGACAGCTGCCCTCACAGTGGAAAAGTGAGTGGTGACTGAACACATTAACAGAAAGGGCTATTTCTCCATGGTCTTGAAGGCACTGGTGGATCACTCTGTTTCACTGACATCAATGGGGTTGATCAGGGAAGGTTCATGATGCACGCATCTTTACGAACACTGGAGTGTACAGAAAGCTGCACGCTAGGGCTTTCTTTCCAGACCAGAAGATTCCAATAGGGGATGTTCAAATGCCCAGAGTGATCCTGGGAGACCCGGCCTATCCCTTGCTCCCATGGTTCATGAAGCCTTACACCAGAAGCCTAGACAACAGCAAGGAGCACTTCAACAACAGGCTCAGCTAGTGCCGAATGATTGTTGAATATGCCTTTGGCAGATTAAAAGGTCATTGGCGCTGCCTTTTTGGCAGGTTAGACCTCATTGAGGACAATATTCCGATGGTTGTAGCAGCCTGCTGTTCTCTACATAACATTTGCAAAGTGAAGGGGGGAAAGTTTCCCCGGAGGTGAGGTGGGTCAGCTGACTGCTGATTTTGAGCAGCTAGATACCCAAGCAATTAGAGAGGCTCAGCAGGGTGGTATTTGAATCAGGAGGCTTTGAAGGAGCATTTTGACAGTGAGCCCTAGTAATGTGTCTTTATGTGATGCATTTGGCCAGGCAATGTTTACTTGCCACCTTGAGTGACCCCTGTAATGCTTGCTTCCTGAGCTTTAATTGTTCCTGAGCAAATGTTCCTGCCTATAGCAACTGTGCTGTAATTTTTACAGCAACTACCATGAGCCTTGCACAGAGGTGCTCAGACTGTAGTGCTGTGAGGGACTTGAGCATCTCTGTCTGGCCCTCCAGTAGCTTTATCATCCACTCCTGTCCATCTGCCATCCACTCCTGCCCCCTGCCTCCTCTCCAGGCTATCCGGTCTGAGTTTTCATTAACTGTCTCCATCCACCCTCTTGTTTCGCTGTCTGCTGTATCTCTAGACTGCAGCGCTTCGCGAAACAGCCTCCTTACTCCTCCTGGTTCACCTCCTTGCCTGATGGAGGCGCTCTGCTGCTGTGTCTGAGTTGGCCCTCAAGGGCATATCTGCAGAAGCAAAAGAAAGAGTGAACAGAGACAGTATTGTGAGTGAATCATAAAAGTTACATACTCCTCTTCCTCACTGTCCCTTGGCTAGCACACAGGTCAGCGCAAGTCCCAAATATGGTGAGTTCAGAGGTGGGTGGTTGGGAAGGGGGCATGGGCAAGAGGGGACAATTGGTCTGGGTGGTTTGCGAAGAGGGCCTAGGGAGACTATTCTGAATATTGGCACCCTTTTCCATAGACTGGGGTAATCAAACCCAATATCTTACTCCTGAGGGTAACCCAGGATGCAAGGGTGCATCGTCTTCATGCGTGTGGCTTCAGACCAGATCCATGTGCTGCTCACCTGTGTGACACTTTGGTCCCTGCAGAAATAATTGTCGGTTGGCATGGCAAAGTTTCCTACAGTGGGGGGAGAAACAAGGCAGATCTACCAAGGAGCCTTCGGCAGAGGATTGCAGAGTGCCTACACGAAAGTTTCCTAGAGATCTCTGTGGAGGATTCCTGGGACATCCCAGTGTACATTACCAACCTTTTCCGCCAGGGCCCCACTGCGTAGCTGTATAGACTCTGTCATTAATTTCTATCCCTTATTCCTCCTCTACCATATAACAAAATAAATGAGACCTCAACCTCCTATCACTGTGCAGTATCAAAGCAAAATGCATGCTTACCAGAGCTTGCCTCTCCTGCTTCATGCACTCCACAACCGGAGTCAAAAACAGGTCCTGGCTCGCCATGCCACCAGACGACCCTGTCGCATGTGCCACATCCTCCAACTCCACTTCCTCATCTACCAATTCATCCCCAGGGCTGACTCTGCTGGCTGCTGCCTCCCGTCCCCCCGAAGTATCCACGGGGCTCTTGGCAGTGGAGGTGGGGTCGTTGCTGAGGATGGCGAGCAGCTCCTCGTAGAAGCGGCATGTCTTTGGCGCTGCACCAAAGCAACGGTTGGCCTCCCTTGCCTTCTGGCACACCTGCCTCAGCTCCTTGATCTTAGCACAGCACTGCTGCGTGTCCCTTTTGTGTCTCTTCTCCTGCATGCCACGAGCAATCTGCCCGAGCAAAGCCGCGACTGCACAGCCTCCTCTCCCCACAGACCCAGCAGATCCAACAGCTCCAGTGTGCTCCAGGCAGGAGTGCGGAAAGCCGGCATGGTCAGCTGGGAAGATGCTGTGTGAACGGTCCACGCTGAGCAAACAAGAAGAGGAATTTTAAAAGTTCTTTAAACGGGGGAGGAGTGCATGCCCGTGTACCTGCAAGGAAACGGAGTTCAAACTGCTGACCAGAGCGGTCAGGATGGGCATTGTGGGACACCTCCTGGAGACCAACTAGGGCAACATAAGCCAGGGCAGTGTCTACGTTGCTCTAACTACGTCATAAAAAGCTCTATGCCGCTCGTCAAGGTGATTTAATTTTGTCGGCCTACCAGGGGAGTTACATCGGTGGGAGGAGCATTTCAGTGTGTACATCTCCACAGACGAAAGCTGACTTTTGTCACCAAACTGTGTAGCGGAGACAAGGCCTTATTCTAACTGTGATTCTGAAATTTGTGCCCTTTGAGGTTTGCAGATTACTACTTGCCCCCTTCTTCAGCTCTGATCAGAAAATCTCTTCTTTTCCTCACCCCAAATATAGCTTATGTTTCAGATAAAGGAGAGAGTTTGGACAGACTTTGCTGGCAGGTTGACAAAGAGAGCAGGTTGCAGAGCCTCAGAGCTATTTGGATCAGAGGATGTTCAGCTCCCCTTGCTAGCAGATGGTGGGAATCTTCAGAGACCACCCACATGTTGCCTCTGTGAACCTTCAGATGACACGTCCCCTGCTCACTGGCGTGCACGCTGGGTTGTTAGATGTGAGCAGATTCCTTCAGTCTGAAGTTTTGACGACTTATGGAGAGTGTCACAACTTGGGCTTCTGGTTTTTGGCATGTATTTGTTGGGGGCAAAAGGGGGAATATGCCTACCGCTTTTCACAAACGGAGCATTAAGCCAAGAGGCCCAGTTTTTGAGATGATTTTCCCAGCATTTTTCTTGGTGGAGGCTGCTCCTGCTCTGCCTGCCTCAGACCAAGGCCTACACTATTCCCAAGTATGAAACGCAAGTGCAGTGTTTAGCCTGCTGAGGAGAAAGGGTGAGATTCGGAAGATAAGGGACAGTAAACACAATTCCAGGGACAACTGTGTGTAAATCAATACTGCCGATTTAGTAGTTTATTATTATATACAAATATTATAAACAAATAAAGGTGAAAGCCCAAATCCTTCCTCAGACTTGCCGACGCTGAGGCTCATTCCTGGGAGGAGTCATTGGTTGTGAGCTTATGAGTAACACTCTGGAGACATAGATTTTTGAGTCAAACAAGATTGTATTTGCTTACACACTCCAGGAGCAGTATTAGGCCTGGTCTTGTACCATTAAAATCAATGGGAGTTTTGCCACTGTGTTCAATGTGTGTCGGCTCAAGCCCTTAATGAGGACAACATGATTTGTGCTGTTGACATGGTCAGATTATGAATCTAGCACCTTGAACTTCATGCCTGCAAGGTGGTGGGCTCCCTCAGCAGCCCAGGAAGAATTCAGTGCTGTGGCCAAGTCTCTTTTCAGGCCTTTTCCTCAGGGGAAAAAACAAACAGAAGCTCTTCCCTTGGAGCAAACAGGCTGCATCTCTGTGTCCCTGGAAGATGATACATCCCTCCCTTTACAGCCCAGCTGAATTATGTGACAAGCAGCCCTTAACCATGTCCTGGCCGTTCCACCCTATCAGTGCTCCTCTCTTCTCCCTCTGTCGCAGACATGGCCGCAGTGCAGAATCCTCTCCCCACCACAGGGTTTGGCTTCTTCAGCTCCCAAGACCATTTTCCTGCAGGAGCAGGCACTTCCTGCTACCAGCTTCTCTGCGTCATCTCTTACAGCAGGGGCGGGCAAACTTTTTGGCCTGAGGGCTGCATCGGGTTTTGGAAATTGTATGGAGGGCCGGTAAGGGGAGGCTGTACCTCCCCAAACAGCCAGGCGTAGCCCGGCCCCCTCCTCCTATACCCCCCTGCTTCTTGCCCCCTTATGCCCCGCCCGGGACTCCTGCCCCATCCAACCCCCCCGCTCCCTGTCCCCTGACCGCCCCCAGAACCCCCGCCCCTGACTGCCCCCCATTACCTCATCCAACCCCTTCTCTCATTCCTGACTGCCCCCCCCGGGGACCCCTACCCCATCCAACCATCCCTTCTCTATCCAGCCACGCCACCGCACAGCACAGAGCACAGGGTCAGGCCAGGCTCTGCAGCTGCCCTGCCCCAGGAGCTCGCAGCCCCGCTGCCCAGAGCATTTGCGCCGGTGGCGGGGCGAGCTGAGGCTGTGGGGGAGGGGAAACAGCAGGGGAGGGGCCAGGGGGCGAGCCTCCTGGGGCAGGAGCTCAGGGGCCAGGCAGAAGGGTCCTGCAGGTCGGATGTGGCCCGCGGGCCGTAGTTTGCTCACCTCTGTCTTAGCAGCATGGGCTTTCCCAGGGCGCACCTCTTAGGAGGATTAGACTGACAGGCTCGGTACAAGGGCTGGCAGCCAAAAGGTGGAACATGGAGGGGATTTCATAAGGGGTGCGGTCTATGCAGAACGACGCAATGGAGAGGAAGGAAGTAGATGGAAGGGATTGACATTGGGAAGAAGAGAAGGGTAGGAAGGCTGAAGGTAACAGGCTCAAACTTTAGTTCTCAAACCTCAGTTTTTCAGTTTCTTGCTTTTTCTTCCTCAAGAAGAGGCTAGTATTATTTTGGTTATTTATTCATATTGTGGCAGCACCCAATGTCCCCAATTCAGATCACGGCTTGATGGCATTAGACCCGCTGCAAACTCATAGTCCCTCCTCCAAACAGCTTCTAATCTAACGTTATATGGAACTTGTTCTTTGAGACAAATTTTATTCCAACATGCAGTTTTGTTGGCTGCATTTGACATCATTCAAGCAGCATGGGTCTGTAATGCTATTTTCTCCCTTTAACTATACAACAATCCAAGAAGCTCCCGGGCATAAATAAGAGCAGAGCAAGGGACTTTTTACAGAGAGGGTTCTTGTCATTTGTTACATACAGTAAGTTATTAGTTATTTGTACAGCAGCAGTGCCAAAAGGGTCTAGTCAAGGATTGGGCCCCCTTCTATTTGGCACTGTACACACACAGAGAGAGCGAAAAGACAGTGCCTGCCCCCAAAGAACTTGCAATCTAAGCATAAGATGAATGACAAGCAGATGCAACAAACTGATGGAGAAGCACAAGGCAATAGTGAGACAGTTTTAATTATCGTGACAAATAGCAGTCATAGCACACCAACTGTGTAGCCATGGTCAGGTTTTTTTGTAGGCATTGCAGCAAAGAGGAATTTTAAGGAGTGATGTGAAGCGGGATAATGTAGTGGCTTTATGGATTTTTACAGGGAGCTCCTCCCAGCTATAAAGGGTTTCCTTGTCATGCTGGTGCTTGGACAACATAGAGGCCACTGAATGCATTATGCGCCACCATGATGTTCTGTCCTGACTCAAATCTGGCACATTACCGTGTAGAATGCCTGTGAAGGATGGGTCTGTGTTGATGCTGTCCAGCCATCATGTTTCAGGGCTTCCAGAGGGTCTTTTGCTTCCACTGAGTCAAAGTCGAAGATGATTCTCAGTGGGAAGTGGGTAGGCTTTCAGAGCAGATGACCATACCACTGTAGAGAGAGAGCGGGACCTGTTTAGTTAGAAAATGGATCTCTTCATTTGATGGGAATTTATACCATTTAATGTTTTGATCATTTTGAGATGCTGCATCTGAATGGTGTCCAACTTCTTTCCAACCTTGACTGTGAGGGGCCACGTTTCAGTCCTACACATCAGAATACTGGCTACTGAAGCATTATATATCCTCCACTTCATCTCACCACTTCTCAGGCTGTTCTGGTCTTGATGAGGCACACCATTACTGACAACACATTTGCAGTGCAGGCTTCAAGTTCTTTCTCTATGCCGATGTATAAAGGAGTATATAGGAGAGAAAAATCATTTAGATGATGAGTCAAAATCCCCATTGCCAAGTGGGCGCACTGAAGCTAATAGAGTTACACTCACTTATGCCATGGGTGAATTGGACTGAGGCAGAGTTTTCAGAGTTAGTGGTACACAAAATAATGAAAAACAGATGACTAGACTGCTGGAGCTTGAACCAGCACACAGTAATTTTAATGGGAGTAGAACCAGACTCAAGCCCCTTGAAATCAAAGGAAAGACTTCCACTGGCTTCAATAGATTGGGCCCCTAAAGAGCAGTGTCAACACTTTGGTTAGCATTACCGCTGTGGCAGGGTGGGGCAAAGGGAAGGAACAGCTTCCACTTTGTAAGTGTGAGTAGAAAGTAGAAAAAAAATGAAGTAACATATTTCCATTTCTGCTCTAATTCTCTAGGAGAAAATCGCTCCTCAAGATCAATTGAACAGACACTTGACAAGGCCACCACCAGATTACAAAGACCAGAGAAGGAATGTGGTCAGCATGCAACAAGCAAACCAGTATTCTGGTAAGCGTACTTAACCAAAAAGAAAACCATGGTTATGAAGACCAGCCAGACAGCCCCGGCAAGTACTGACAAGATGGGCCTGATTCTCTGTGTAGTCACTTACATCAGTGCAAAAGCACCTGTGCCAAGTGGGTGTAAAATGCCACCACTCTGATGTGGCAACATTGTACACCCACCTTACACTAGGGTAAATAACTGTACATGGAGTAATGGAGAATAATGTCTTGAAGGTTCCTCCACCCTCAGGAAATGTTCAGGGGGAACCGTTCGGATTGAAACACATCTCCCTCCGCAGGTTCTGCAGGTTGCTCCTATACTGTACATTTCTAAAACCTCTATATTATAGCTATGGCATTATTGAAAAATGCTGATTAATAATAATAATGGGAATTAGCCAGTGTTTCATACAGTCTGGTATCAAGTATCTGACATTGGCCAATACCAGCTGCTTCAGAGAAATAGGCAAGAAATCCCCTTAATGGAATCAACAGTAGGCAGTTGGTTTATGTCCTGAAATCTGAGGGCCTATATCCCTAATTCATTGATTTTTATCCTATCTGATAAAATTGTGATAATTGTGGATGATCTCAATAACCATTTAACCATCTACTCCTTTTTTGAAGCTTTGGCCCCAGTGATATCTTGTAGCAATGAGTTCCACAGGTCAGTTAGTGTTGTGTAAAAAAAAAAAAAAAAAAGTTCTTTTGATCCATTTTAAATTTGATGCCTTTCACTTTCATTGCCCAAACTGTCTAACAGAGATAATTAGCAATATTCCAGCAATATTCCAGAATAATCCCTTTGGGCCAAGTCCTTTCTTCAGTGGGAGTTGTGCCTAAATAAGGACTAAAGATGGATGGATTTGGATTTTTATTCTGTTTTTGTCCCCACAGCAATGGAATAAGAAAGAGATACAGGGAGAGGAGGGCAGGACATAAGGAAAATGCAGCAGACGAGATTAGAGTGGGATTTTATTCTGAAGAATGACCCTGTAAAAACAGGATTGTGGGATTCTGTAGCATTTGCCTTTCAGGGATTTCCATATCTAATGTTCTCAGTTCACAAGTAAAAAGGACTTTATTTTCTAACTGCCTGCCTTGTAAACTTAGTTTGGGATCTGATAGTCCAGCTGGGTTCTTTCCTTCCCATATGTCTACTTCAGTAACAAAGTTCTTCAGGTCAAGTTATGCCCTTAGTGACATTTGCTCAGATCCATTGTCTTCAGCAAGTTTTCACAGGTGTCAGTGACTCAAATTTAGCAAACACTTCTGTCACAGGGTGTACCTGCCCTTTAGTGCCCCCTGTTGGCCAAGTCTGGCGCTGTACAGGGGGGCTCCCTGCTTCAGTTTCCCTTGATGTAATCACTGAATTCACCAAGGCTTTACATAGGGAATAATACCCTTTCTGAGGGATCTATTTTATTAACCAAAGACCCAATGAAAATACAAGCAAGTCTTCATCTAATGTCTTAGTGGGTTGACAAAGTCAGTCTCAGTTTATCCATTCCCACCCATATCCACCACTCCCCTCCAGAAGTGTTCTCTCCGTTTGGGTCCCTTCCCTAGAGCCAGGTCTCTTTCCACTATCTGAAAGAATCCTTCCCCAGAGCCAGGGGTCTGCAGAGATGTGTCAGCTGCAGCTCTTCTGTGGGGCAGCCTGTAGTTCCTGGCTGGCTGGGCTTCCTGACACTATTTGGGAGTTTCCTGGCGCTAGGAGCACATCCTCTAGGCTCCTTGCTCTGGAGAGATCTCTTGCTCAGCTTTCCTGGGAGCGACTCTCTTCAGGAGCATCCTCTAAGCACCTAAGAATGGCAATATTGGGTCAGACCAATGGTCCATCTAGCCCAGAATCCTGTCTTCCAACAGCAGTCAGTGCCAGATGCTTCAGAGAGAGTGAACAGGACAGAGCAATTGATTGAGTGATCGACCCCTGTCGTCCAGTCCCAGCTCTCTGGGAACCACCCCAGTGGAGCCCTGGTAACCCTTTATCTGGTTCATTAGCTAATTAGCCCAACCAGCCACGTAGGGATTTAGTTGCTTCCAGGTGGGGCTGGGTTGACTTGTTCTCCCTTACAGGAGCCTGTCACAGGTAGGTTGGTCCCTGAAGGGCCAGCTCCCATGACAGTGACCCAGAAAGAATAGAACCCAGTTTATCTGTGCTGTATTATCACCTGAAGTGCAACCAAGAGTGAAACGTCATTATTTCTTGCAATTTGATTGGGCATCTTGTGATATTTGTTTTTGTTTTTTCTTAAAGCCCCAACTCCTGGAGTCCCATGATTAACTGAGACTCTGCTTTTATTTAAAAAAGAATAACTTTCTAGCCCTCGTAGTTGTGGAGAAAAGTTTGGACATGTGACCCAAATGCACCCTAAAACTCAAAAATCAGAAGACAAAAATAACCCAAATGTTTGTTTGTTTTTAATCTCACAAATGTTATGCCAGCCTCATGACACTTTGGGGCCTGACTCCTTATTTTTGAAGGTTTGGACTTGGCAATACCAGAATCCTAGAAATGTAGAGCTGGAAAGGACCTCAAGAGGTCAGCAAGTCCATCCCCCCTATGCCAAAGCAGGATTGAGTATACTGTTATTCTGTCCCTCAAGTCACTAGCAATGATTGAATATACACAGGGAGCAGAGCAGCTTTTCTGAGTACAACAGGAGACAGGGCTTTGCTACGAGCTTGCAGGGAAACCACCAGATGGACTGATTAGGAAACTGTTGCACAAGGGAGCAGCAGCTGGGAATCTGTTGCTTGTTTCTGGGAATAGCTGTGCTCAAGTAATGGAAGAAGGGAAACAGCTCAGAACAGCAAGAAGTTAAATGAAATACTGTGGAGACACCGAGAGACATTATTAAGCATTGCATTCCTGGGCTCTTTTCCTCTATAATACAATAAACCCCAGGACAATGGCAGGTGAACCCGGCAATAAATTCTCCTCAGTACCACTGTGTCCCTTGGTGTCTAAGCACTGGATATGTTGTCTGGACAACACTGTTATGAAAGAAATTTCTTCCCATCTGGAAGAAATTAGAGTGAAAAATATTTTGGTTTAAAATATAAGGATAAAAATAGTAACACAAAGAAAGAGGAAACTTTGTCTATTGGAGGAGATATGGAAGCAAGGTCCTGCGCACATCTGACTTGTAACGATCTCCTGGGAAGGCACTTGAGTTGGGGGGTGGTAGTACTCGGGGTTGTTAAAGAGCTGGCATGTTCCACCCGAGGAATGGCTTCAGACCAGCAGTAAGTGAAGTGATTCTGTAAATGTATGAAGGCTCCTTTATTTAACCTGGTAACAGAGTCCCAATTCTCCTCTTACGTTAATTCCATCTCTGTGTAATTCCATTGATTTCAGAGGAGCTATTCCTCATTTACACTGGTGCTAATGAGAAGAGAATCAGGCCCCAGGTCTTCTTTGGTACTACTGACAAATGTTACCATATTTCAAATAAACAGTAGGGAAGAAATGAATTGTTAGTGCAGTCAAAGTTGGAGATTAATTAATGAGGTTAGCGACGCAGCACTGATAGTTACTTTGGTTCCAAAAATATAGTGCAGCCCAGCGGCCTACTGATAGCACTCTTTGAGACTAGGTGCCCTGGTAGAACCAGGCCGAATTCTCCCAGTCTCTCATACTCCCAGGGCTGCTCCTGCTGTTGAAGTTCAGTCATGTTGGTTTGGAATATATAACTGTATTATAAGGCCATGTCTAGGAACCAGACCGAGGGAGGCTTGTGAAGGGGTTGAAAAATGGGTGAAGATAATTAGTTTCTTGCTGATTGTGGCCCACGGCACAGATTGTGGCCCAGATACGGAGGCACAGGGATGGTGAGTATATATCCCTATTTTACATATAGAGAAACTCAGAATGGTTAAGTGATTTGACCAAAGTCACACAGGGAATCAGCGGCAGAATGAATAAGAAATCCGAAGTGCTGATCCCTGCTCTGCTGTGCTCTAATCACTTAAATATACTGTCTCCCATACTTAGTGTTGTACCACCGTGAAAATACAGTAAATTTCTCTCTCCTCAGCAGTGGTTGTCAATTTTATTGCCAAGGACCTTTTTTTGGTGTTTCTAATGTTTGGAAGGAGAAGTATTGCAGACTACTGATACTGCAGTCAAGGACTATGGATCTGACCCAGCTCCCGCTTAAGTTAATGGAGAGACTACCACTGGCTTCAATGGAAGTTGGATCTGGTCTTTCTTTGGTTCATATGCATTTTGTAGACCTCGCCAACCAGTAACGTTTTCATCAGTCCACCAAGGGCAACATACACCATTTGAGAGCTTATGCTATAGGGAAACTAGATTTTAACCTACTGTACATTTTAATGAAACAATTATCAATACAGATCTTTGTTTGTGTTTTCTTTTCGTTTTCTAGGTGGTTCTCCGGCAGTGAGTATGAGCTCCAGTCTGTCTTTATCAAATCCTATTTCAACTCATAGCATTTTGTCACAGAATTCTAGCCTTTTGTCAACTCCCCATGGAACCAGAATGCCTTCTATTTCAGCAGCCCGGAACATGGGCTGTTACGGAAACATTCCTTGCAATCCACCAAGCTCATACAATGTGACGTCAGGAATGAACCAAGTGCAGCAACACAGAAACCAAAACCAAATCATAACCAGTCAAAATAACCTCATGATGTCTCGCCAGCCAGCCCTGGCACAAGGAAACAACGTAACAGCTTTTGGGACTGGGTCAGCAGTTAACTCTCAGCAAGTGAGAGCAGGTTTAAACCACGGAGCGACAGGTATCCCAGCACAAAGACCATCGAATGTGATGATCACTCCCAGTGCTGCTGCTCAGAACTGGGCCCCTCCAGAGGCAGCAACAAAGCAGCAGGATGCACTGAAACCTACAGGAGTTCGTTTCCCAACGAGCACTCCATATCCTAACCAGTCTCTGCAGCGCTCCATAGGCAACCCGCAGTTTCCTCAGCATGCTATGGCACCTCCAAACCAATTAACAACAGCAGTGCAAATGAGACCTCCTCTAAACCAAATGAACCAAACAATAAACGGACAACCTGTTGGATCACTAAGAGGTTTAAGTGTAGGAGCTAGCCAGATCAGAGCACAGACTGTGCCTAACCTGAATCACCCAGGAACAAGTATGACACCACCATCATCCCTGCCGTCAACCAGTTTTACATCTACCAACCAAAACTCTAGGGCTTACCAAGGAACTGACCATGGGAATGACTTAGCCTTTGACTTTCTTAACCAGCATGGTGACAATATAGGGCCTGCACTCAACAGTGATTCAGACTTTATAGACTCTTTATTGAAAACAGAGCCTGGTAATGATGACTGGATGAAAGACATCAACCTTGACGAAATCTTGGGGAACCACTCATAAGAGACAATGCCGATGATAAAACATACATGCTCTAAGTACTAAGAGGCAGGATTGACTATAGCTCTCTCTTTAAAGTCCAACAATCTGCTTTATTAATTTACTCTCCAGTGGTTGGGCTGTTTAAGAACCAATGGTTTAAAATAAGGATCCAAGTGGAGAGATTGCTCTGTTTGAAGAGATGGTCTAAGAACAAAATCTGATTCTAAATCTTACCCCAGATGAAAGTATAATGTAGGGTGATAGTTATAGTTGTCAAGCTAAAAACAGATGAGGGGGTTTATGGCCAACACATTAGAAGTGCACCTGTTGTTCTCATGGGAGCTGTCTGCATTTGGCTTAGGATGTTGTATAACATGCATTCTGCAAACAGAGGTCCTGAACGGTGTGCAGATCATGAAACTTCATGTCTCAGATGCAAGTGGCCACCTCACTATGGGCTTGACTCCATGCAGTCCGGAGCAAAGAGCTCAGTGCTCTCCACTCTCATTGAGAGTACTCAGTGCCTCCCAAAATCAGGCCCTCTGTACAACTAATTCTTGTATGTTATAAAAATTGTTTACTTCTACATTGTAGAAACTCTCATTTTTCCTTTCGATTGATTTCATTTTAAACCACCTAAGTTGTGTAGAAAAGGGCAAGTGGTTCCTTTCAAGGAAGGAGGAAAGCGGTTTGTGTGAGACACACCCCAGAGTGGTCGCTAGCTTTTACTCTCTCTCCTGGGATTTGGTTTGTTGTAACAAGGGGAGGCTGTTTCTCCAATAGGTAACAAATTCGGTGTAGTTTCTGGTGTAAATATGCCATCAGCCATTCCAAAGTTCAAGGGCCAAATTCTGCTCACTTGCTTGCACAGATGGTGCCAGTGACTTGAATGGACATCTTGAGTGAGATAGAGGTGGAAGATTTGGCCCCAAAAGAATACTTCCCCACTCCGTATCTGAGTTCCACATGTACCCAGCTATTTGCTTCATCCTTGCTCAAGCGCTGGGATATATGTGCATATGGGAAGACTTCCATTTTGATTCAGTCTGACAACATGCAGCGTGACTCCTGTGGAGAATATCCGTAGCTCTCTCATTCACCAGTTCGAGGGAGTCAGAAGAGAGACACGCTTGAGCACTAAAAGTGCTGATGACGGTTTGATAGATGCTCACTGTGGGCCAGATTCCGATGCCTTTACTCAGGTTGAGTCGACCCTTGCTCTCTGAGTTGTCCCTCTGAAACCCAGATGTATAGCTGATGTATTGAAATAAATGGGACTACTTGCAGAGTGAGATACCCTTCAGCCAGAGTCAGGGCCGGCTCCAGGCACCAGCTTGCCAAGCAGGTGCTTGGGGTGGCCACTCCGGAGAGGGGCGGCAGGTCCAACTATTCGG